AGTAAAAAATCATAGAAAAGAGTGGCCAGAACAGCAGGAAGAAATCAAGAACATGGTGTCACGGAACCCACCACAGGACATTTCAAGAAGGGAGTGGCCAACTGCTGACAGATGAGGACCGACCCCTCTCCTTTGGATCTGGGAACATGGACGTCATGGGAGGCCCAAGCAAGAGCCTCTCTGTAGAGGGGGTGGGGGCAGAAGTGGACCGGACAGGGTTGGTGAAAGGCACTTTTTCTAGAGCCAGTCTACTGGGTTCACACCCTGGTTCTGCCAGCTGCTGGCTGTGCACCCCTGGGCACAGATTAAGACCTCTCAGTGTTTCCGTTCTGTTTGTGAAATGGGGCTAAAGCATACCTACCTCATAGGCAGTTATGAAAATTAAACGAGTTAATACACATGAAGTGCTTAGACCGCCTGGCACCATGTGTTCATTAGTGTTAACAATTATTACTATTAATCACCGTTGTTAATTCTGAAAAGAGAAACAAGCCTCTTTCTCTTCCCCTTTGCCTCCTTCCTCTTCCTGAACAATTCAGTCCTAAAGCCATGAGGTAGCAGGGGGGCGGTGCCCAGGGCGGGTTCACACCGGGGTTTGCCTGGTGCCAGGCCAGGGGGAGGGGGGCATCCTGGAGGCGTTGGGGTGGAAACTGGAGAGTAACTTTATGGTGGAGGGGCCTGCAGACTCCGCCTTGATGAAGTACTTAAAGAAACATCATTCAGTAACAGGTCAAATTGGAACTGCGCCACCTAATAGATGCAGTGAGAAGAACACAGCATCACCTCTTGTTGATATCTCTGCATAACCTGAATCTAGTCATGAGGAAACATCAGACAAACCCAAACAGAGGGACAGCTACAGGATAACGGGCCCAAATCTTCAAAAGTGTCAAGGTCATGTCAAGGAGAGACTGAGGAGCTGTTTCAGACAAAACAGCCTGAAGAGACATGGCAACCACATGCCACATGTGATTCTGAACTGGATCTTCTTGTAGATCCCAGAATGATCTGACTGGGACAACTGATGAAACCTGAATGGGGTCTGAGGGTTGGATGGTAGTAATGTATCAGTGTTAATCTCCTGACTTTGACGTTGTGTCCTGGCTGTATAGGAGAATAAAGGAAACCACAGCCAAGTATTCGGGGGCGATGAGATAGCCGGTGACAACTGCTTTCAAATGGTTCAGGAAAAAAATTCTTTGTACTGTACTCGCAACTTTTATGTCCATTTGATATTGATTTTTTAAAAAGTGGGAGAGGGATTTCCCTGGCGGTGGTTAAGAATCCGCCTGCTGGGCTTCTCTGGTGGCGCAGTGGTTAAGAATCCACCTGCCTATGCAAGAGACGCGGGTTTGAGCCATGTTCGGAGAAGATCCTACATGCCGCAGAGCAACCAAGCCCGTGCACCACGACTACTGAGCCTGCCCTCTAGAGCCTGAAAGCCACAACTACTGAACCTGTGTGCCACAACTACTGAAGCCCGTACGCCTAGAGCCCTGCTCTGCAACAAGAGAAGCCACCACAATGAGAAGCCCACACACCGCAACTAAGAGTAGCCCCTGCTCGCCACAACTAGAGAAAGCCCGTGAGCAGCAATGAAGACCCAACACAGCCAAATAAATAAATACACAAA